TATATTCGTAGTGACATCCTCGATGTTCGGCTGTTTTTAAATGGCAAATGTTTCGGAAAATTGAATGGCCTGTGCTAGCTGGTGCAAATTAATTTTTAAACGCCCTCTTACAAGGAATCTATCTTTGTCAAATAATGTCCTCATTAAGCAGCAGTAAAATCATTATGAGAACGCTTGATGAACTTTCGCCGACCAGAAAACACTGACTGAATACAAAAGGCGATTTTTGATTCTTTTTACGTTGTTTTTGATTTGTTTGGAATCGCTTGTTTCTTGTCTGTTTGTTTGTTTGTTTGATTTATCCCTTTGGAGCTTTCTTCACTTTTAACTCTTTTAGCCGAGTATCAATAAAAGTTAAGTTTCTCACTATTTTAAGAATGAGTAAACTTTTCCTTTCATGTTTTGACTTCGAGTAGAGGGTACAATCGCGGCACTACCAGAATTGTTAAATTAAAAATTATTAAAAAAGGGAAATAAATCCTTGGCTGTTCTGTCAATTTTAAACTTCAGAAAACATGATTGGAATTTCAAAATAAATGAAAAAGGAATTAGGAAATTGAAGGAGACAATTTTTAGGGATAAATGTAAAGCTCATCGTCATTATTATGTGCCGTGGGCAATATTACCCCTAAATGCACTCAAAACGTTTTTTTAAACAAAGCTGAAGGCATTCAGCCATGACTAATCTAATGGCCTGTGTCGCAGTGATAACCTTTCTAATTTTGATTCCGTGATCAACTATTTCATGTTGGTCTGAAATAACATCAGCTTAGTTATAAGAGTTCTGAGTTATTGATAACTATCGACTGTCGATGATTAGCATGCTTGAGTGAGTTGAAACATTAATGACCAATCACATTCAAGGCGACAAAAATGCATCTTTGAGCCACGATAACCTCGACACTGCCAGATGGCCATTGACGATTCACCGTGGAGATAGCTTATGATGAAAGCGAGAGCAACGCGTTTGTTTGTCGCAGTACTGACTTATGTTTTCACAGGTAAGGAAGAATACTTCTGCAAGCTATCGAAGAAAAATATGTTTTTCTTGACTGAACGCCAAATTTTTAGTTCTTTCGTCATCCATTAGCTGCGATTTATTTCAACACGTTTCGTAGAAAGCAGTTTCGACGGAAGTTGTTCAAACTTTTAACTTCGATGAATTGAGACCAGTTCTTACACAGAAGGACAAATATAGTTAACTTCTGATGGGGGAATAACACGCCGAAGGGTTAATTGCCAAGAGCTTGCATGCTAAAGATGCGGCTTGTTTATAACATACGTAGGAACTGTTTGAAATGGAGATACCGTGGTTGTAATATATCCTGACTCATTCATAGTTTAGAGAGAGTCTTGCTGATCGATTTACCTGAAATAAAGCTAAAAGACGTCAAATTTAACAGGAAAAACTAATTCACCATGGCATGGTCATGTTTAATTCAGAAATTTAGGAATTGCTCAAGAGTGAATAAGCCATGTGAATGTGTTTGTGGAGTTGCTTATTAACTTTGGGTCAATGAAGTGGTACGGAAAGAAATCAGGAAAAGATGGGCTTTCTTGTTTCAGGGGATTAATCTCAATGAAAGACCCGACGGGGTGCGAATTAGATCCCTTTTATCAAAGTTAAACTTTAAAACGGTAGGTTGCCCGTCAGATTAAATATTCATAAAACAGCAGGTGTCGATATTTGCGAAAGCTAGTTAAAATCGTTTTCTTGTCTATTTATATATTTTGATGGCTTCAGTGGAAAGTCGATTTCCAATTGCTTCAGTTTGAGAAATATCGGATGCCGCAATATTCCAGCATAATGTGATAGTAAGTGATATCAGAACTGCAAGTAAACTCGTCAGTTTGTGGGTTATGCTATGTCTTAATTTCGATACATTGATCCTCACGTGTAGATATGTATAGGTCATGTCGGTTACGATGGTCACGCAAAGATTGCGGTGAAATGTCTTGTGTCATATTTGAATATATTAAAACTCCCTGTTGTGCTCGAAACAAGCCAAGAACATGTTTAGCTCCATTAATAGTTCAGTAAAAATCTGGTAAGAAAATAGACTCTAGAACGAAAGTGAACTCTTTTCAAAAAGTTTCGGCAAAATGTCTCTATGTGCCTTGCAATCACGCCGTTCGAATCAAGGAAAAGCCTACATCTAAGCATATCGCGGATAAAAGGGGTCTTTTAATAGCAAACCACGACAGCGACGGCAACGAGGACGTGGCAAAAACAAAAAACCTATTAATGGGCAGAACAACTTGAGCTCAGCACGTGAGTTTTCAAAACTTTCTACATTCTTACTCTCGGTGCAAAACAACAACATGGGATCAAGAAACCCCCCGAATTTTGCGCGGTCTTAGAGCGGAAACCCCGACGGCAAATTATTTAAGTCTCCTTTGGGAACCAAACGCTGCTCACATCCGTTATGTAAAAGTTGAGGTTTGGCGCCGTAAGAGATGGTGAAGACATTCAGCCATTCGCGAAATTCTAACTTAAAATACGAATTTATTTTTTAATCGACGTCTTTTTTGACGTTGCCGTCCTGACTGCCTAAGGTCCCTCATAAAGGAGGGAAGCACTGCTTCACTGTATCTTGAGTGAATTCCGCAACATTGGCATCTTTCCTTCCTCCGCTGCTGAATATTATACATCTCCTTTCACTCAAAACCGTCCCTGACTTAGGCCGAGAGCAGTTTTACCGGGCATACTGTGCATCTGACTGCGCAGTTTTGTCTTTTTTCCCAAGGTGCATATTCATTTTATTCTTTTGTACTCGTTTCAGAAAGTGTTGTCACAGAGAGAAATACGGCCTGTATCCAGAGAACGGTTGATTATCACTGCTGTCGATTTCCATTCCGCTACAAAGGAGTAAAATACAAGAAATGCACGAATAATGGGGACGCCGAGGGCCGCTTTTGGTGCGCCACTGAAGACGTTAGACATCGCAGTAACGAAACTACCAGTTGGGGCTACTGCAAATGTAAGCTTCCTTTAAATCTCATCGATCCAGTTGACCTAGATCTCAAGAAGGTATTCTCAGAGGAGTAAGTTTTATTGACCTCACTTGTCTTCTCTTCACGCAGTGAGGAAATCGCAGTGTCTTGTGAAGACTACAGATGGAGAATGTTGCAAATTCCCGTTTAAATATCTTGGTAAAGACTACATCAGCTGCGCAGCCACTGATAATGATCCAAATGGTGAATACTGGTGTGCAACAGAGAATGAATTTGACAGGAATCTGAGCAGATCGGGCTGGGGTTATTGCGCAGGTCAGTTTAACCTTCGCAATATACTGATGGTTTCTTTTTCTTTTGACAAATAACAGAATAGAATATCAAAATGATTGAAAATTGTTTACAATCGGTCACAATAAACATAACACATACTTATGTGTGTAAGCCATATTTTTATCACCATTCGCTCTGACTAAGGGCTAACGCTCGAAACATCAGTTTAGAAACTCTTTATGGTGGCCAATTTGCATCATCAACTCAGTTGATAAAAGCAAATTATCTTGTTACACTCCCCCACCGACGTAGCACAACAGTTTCTTTAGAAACTTGCCTCCTCAATTCGTGTGTTACAGTGATCACCATGGCAGTTGCTTCCTATCCTAGCAACAAGAGGTTCGTGACAGGTAGATGTTGTACATTCTTGATAAAAGAGTTTCTAAAGTGACGTGTCTGAATAAATAACGATGTCTATAAAAGCTAAGTGTGCGTTTATTTGGTATGTCTAGCTACTCAGCCTTCAGTACAACCACATCTTTATGGCCATGTAAAAGGTACTAACTTTAAACAAATACGTAGTTCGTTAGGTAAAAATTGAAAGCCTCTTTTTTTTTTAAAGAGACCCAACCTCGTATTGTTAAATTACAGGGTCAACGTGCTTTTCATGTCGAAGTAATACATCTTGGGCACATTGTAACAAAAACATCATCAAGAGGATATGTCCTTATAAGTTTGAACATTGCAATGCCATAACTAAGGAAGAAACTCACAGCTGGGGAGAAAATTCGAACAAATCTGAGATAGTGACAAAGACGTTTACAAAGGATTGCTCTTCAGACAGTGACTGTGCCAACCCTGACCTCTACTGCGACGGCCATCTTAACTGCTTACATCAGTGTTGTCATGGAAACTTATGCAACGCAGGCAAAATTCTGAGGGGCTATCTTCAAGGGATCATTGTTCTATCATTTGCTGCTGTGTCCTTGATCAACTTTCCCTTGTTAAGAGAATCTGAAATAGGAAATGGCCATTCCTAGGTGCACGTCGATTATATTTATTCACAAGAGCACAAATATTGTTTGTGCGACTTTTGAGAGTAAATTTCACGAGACAGATTGCGCTTGCTCACTAAAGGAAGTCATCGTCTCTCGTAGTCGGTAATTCTCCGTTTACTTGCAAGGGAGCGCCATCGAATAAAAGTCAGAGATTCGATAACAAATGACTCTTGGTCAGACAAAGGTTTTACAGTTTTGAAAATGGTTAGTCTCCAGACAAAGCTTTTGCCTATTGCAAATCAAAGAGAAAGACAAAGGTGCCTCAGAGAAAGAATCCCTAAGCGAACTGGAGAAATCACAAGTGTTCGAGTGGACATAAGCTATAGATCTATGAATACGTAACTAGAAAAACGATCAGACTTAGCTCATTTCTAGTTTCAGGGACTTACAATGGCTTGGATGCCTGGCGCGGAAACGTCAGTTCTTCTGTTAAAACAAAGGATGTCTTCTGGAAAGAAACCTATCTATAACTGAAGGTCAAATGTTGTTGACCGTAACATGTCATAAGCAGTCGAGATGTTTCTTAGTTATTGAATATACATGATTGTGCCAGGCTTGTGAAGTTCGAGAAACTGCTGAACGCGCTTTTCTTAAAAAGCAATTTTAGCAAATTTGCAGCCATTAATAAATTTCAATTATGGGGCAATCTTCTTATGGGTACATCTTCTTTTACTATTTAATTTATTGTTTCCTTAATACTAGGGAGAACATTGTCTTGTTTATAAGTTATTCTGATCGTTGATTTTCTATTCGTTGCTTATCATATCAGTTTTGAGGAGGTTTAAGAACAACACACAGAAGAGAAAGCAGAGCGCGTGAAGCCAATGAGATGAGGACCCTTTTGAGCCGGCATTACACAGGTCAGCTGTACAACAAGTGACGTCACAATCCCCAGTCCTTCTTTCTTTGGCCTCTTTGCAATTTTTCTCTGCTTTCTGACACATTCTGATGTTGGCGCATCCTTTGGCGACCTGGAATGAATTGCGACATCGATCATATTCCTTTCAGGCAATTAGATCATATTCAAATGGAGTTCTAGATCCAATGTACCAAAACTTTGGTCATTTTGCGCACCACAATTGAATGAAATAAATAATTTTTTGACTTGCGGATTGTGTACAAGGAAATAAATGATCCTCGCTTATGACCTGCACTTAAAGAAATTTGATAGATTGCCGCTCACCTGCCAGAATAATTTCTTATCTCGCATCATGCGCATGCTTTCACTCCTGATTAACGCGCAAAATGGGAGAAGGGAGGATTTTGTTTCCTTTATCGCTAGGGCAGTAATTCTTCATTTGATCAAAAATAGTTACGATAGCATATGATGTTTTGTATTTACTTTGAATCAAGCATTGCCAAATGGATTCGAATTCTTATGACTTGGCAGACAAACTCTAGAATTAAACAAACACTCCTTAATATGATATTAATGATAACATTGCTTTTAATTCAAAGTAACTCCTCTCAAATACCTGTCCATTCTCATTATTCATTATCTCAATGCACCTGTCCTTCAGTAGTGGTTCCACAGGGCATTTCTCTTCTCCCATTTGTTTTCGACAGTCACCGCCTTCATCGCATGTAAAACATCTGATACATGACAGTTCTACAATAAAACATCAATGGCGCTAAGGGAAATAGTTTAAATGAAGATTTAGAGAAAGATAAGGAAAAAATTACTGATGGGTGAATTGCGATGGAATCAAAATGAGTAAACAGGGCGGTAACCTAATGTGTATCGCATTTTTGATTGCTCGACGATTTTGTCTCACACCTTAACAAAGAACGTTGGCATTCAGCTCTAACCAACGTCCGCTGAGTAAACATGCAGAGCCGAGTTGTTTTAAGCATGATGAGGGTTAATCGAGAGTACTTTCATATTCTGTCATAAGGCATTTATATGCAATTAACCTGGGACTAGAGTTATCCTCATTACAACCCCCTCAGCCCAGAGTAACAAGCAAAAAAGCAAAAACTAAGACAGTGAGCTATACAGTGACCAAACACACAGTCTCGTTCCCAGGGTCTCCTCTTTTCGAAAAGCGGAGATGGCCTTGGGAATTCGGTTCACCTAAATGTAAGGTGAGAACCCATGAAGTTAAGCTCAGTGTAGCCAGGAAAATGTTCCTTAAATAGAACACAGAGTTACTTCATCCCAAATTAAACCGCGGCTGTTTTAAGACTTTAAATGAGTAAATCATTGAGAAAAATGATTCTTTGCAAAAGAAAAGAAACAAAACAATGGATAACAAAAACATTGGCAGAATTTTTATTCATGCGTTATTTTCAAATTCTAATTTTTTTATCAGTTCCAATTCCAAATAGTTTGCTTTACTAATTGAAAACAGCTAGGACTAAAATGATGTTCAACAATTTGAAATAATCGTGAATTCGTCTAGTGTTTGATATGCGTCAGTGTCTAGCAAATCTTATCTTAAGGGATCATGTCATTTTAAACCTGTTTTTACATCGACCAGTTCTAAAATGCCTCCATAGAAATGCGGAAATTAATTTAAGTCTGAGCAATCTTGAAATTACGTCAAACGTACAATTCTTTCACCATAACAATCTTGAAACTTAACTCGACTTATCTTCAGCAGTTATGTCGTTTATACTTCAGCACAACCTACTTACCTTTGATGGATAAAAGCACGACGCATAACGATGCAAGCATATTTGCCATCAATTTCTTTTCGTGAGACCCTCTTAACATTTAGCTGTCGTCGATGATGTTAAACCAGTTGTACGAAGAGCTACGTTTCCTCTCAGATTATTTTTTCCAAAACTTCTCAGCGTGATTTAATTAACGCGTATTCTCCGCAAACAGGTGCAGTCACCGACTTTTACAATTCCTGAATAATTTCACAGCGGTCGTCCGGCTTCACATAGTTTAAAAAAATTTGAACCCTGCATGGAAGAACGGGTAAAAGTCTTCCTGTTAGAAACTGGCATAGTGTTATCACAGGAGCCGGTGTCAGGAGCAGGCCTCATACGTTTTGGCTTTAGTTTTTTTCTGAGGTTGGAGTTTCGGTTTTTCTGTCCCCCTCATAAAAATACCCAGTCTATAATCCACAGCGGTTTTTCCCTCAACCTGAGTTGTTTCACGCTTAGTGTTTGCTTTTATTTTTTTCTGTCTGTTTGTGATTGTCTTGAGGAACACATGTTCCCATTGGCTTAGAAGACCAGGACACACACAATATGCTCCAAAAAATGGAGCTATAGCTAAAGTCCAAGTTTTCGAGGCATAGAAAGCGTTTGAGTCATGCAAGTGAGATTTAAGCGCGTTTAATGTGCACGGTCGTCCTCAATTCCAGTGTCTAAAAAAGCGCCCTGTAAAGGAAAGAACCGATCAAATTTTAACAAGTCACTCGATCTAACGTTAATTTAGAAACGCATTTTTTTTTTATAGTTAACTGATGAAGTATATTTTATTTGATGTTTTGGTGTGTAGCATCGCTAAGTATTTTTACGGATTTTTGTTGAAATACAAACAACGGCTGATAATACTCAGCAATACTTCACACTCAAATGTCTAATACGTCATTTATTTTTCAAGTGCTCTATTTCATGCGCATCTCTTATAAGGCTGGAAAAGCGGAGCAATTAGAGAGAGTAGCAAGCACAGCCGACCGGTTTTTACGGTACAAAATAACCAACTGTACAATATCGTGTCATATTTGTACACGGTCAGCTCGTTATTCGTACTCTGCTTAGTACAGCTGGATAATGAAAACACCTTTTCGGTATTACAATATGTAACAGACGTAATAACTTTCCAAGCTTATAATTCCTACAAAGTCATTTAACATTTACATGCACGACTCTTGAGGAGTGTTGTAAAGTGCCCCCAATGTGTTTCGCAGTTTTGCAAAAGATATGGTTCTTTTGGGAGGGCCTCAAAAGCTGTAGGAAGTGTTTCGTTGTCAACTCACTGCTTGACAAGTTTAAGATGGAGCTCGTTCGTTCAAATTCTTTTATTCAAATTGCAAAGTAAGGATAAATAAATTAGATAAGCCCGAAGAACAGTTATGGAACTTAAGTTTACGTAAATTATTTCTCCTTGTATCTACTGATCTCTAAAAAATTCTCGAGCTGAAAAGTTGGGTCATAAATTTAATTCTGAGGGTCGGTGTCATGTTATCATAAATCAGTATATCATGTAAAATTTACCCCCGGGCAACGCGCACGAAAATACTGTAGTCGTTGCAGGAATAAATTGATTAAAATGATCTTTTAGTGTTATATTCTCTCACTGTTTCAAAGATAGTAAAATAGCTATTCACCTCAGTGTCGGTGGCCAGCGGAGGGTATTTGCCTCGACGCTTCGTGGTTCGGTGAATATCCACCACTAGCCACCCCCAGTCCGGTGAGTAGTTGTTAATTATTGCAAGTTTGAGTTGTGGACTCGCTGTCAAAAAATTTGGAATATTAGTTTTTCGTTGACGCGTCGTGTCTGCTTATTTACATCCGCATTTTTAACAAAGATGCACTAGCGCTCGTACGGGATATAAACAAAATTAGACTTTTCTCGATGTTAGTATCCAGTCCGCACCAATTCAGCGGTAGAGAAAGTCTGGGAAAAAATAATGAACTGAAGTGATATAACACACACAGTTACGCAGACGGAATCCTAGAAAATCATGGAATTTCTTCCAGGAGAGCTTGAAGACTTGTAAACAAACATGAGGTGGGAAAGAAAACTCGGACGAGCGTGAAATTAATTGATGCCCTCCGATCCTTGTTTTTCTGAAGTATATATTCAAGAAACCTCCCACCTCAATATGAGTATTATAACCAACAGAACTAAGAATGTGCACGTGTTCGACGTAATGCCATTGGTAACGGCACTGTTGCACAGGTCTTGATGGCAGCATGTAGTTTTACAATCACCAGAGTTTTCGCATGCTTTCATCATTATATCACAGCCGTCTTCATTGGTACAGCCTCGCTCTATCATGTCCCCTTCTCTTGTTTCACCTGTAACCTTCCTCAAAAAACATCGATTAGTAGGATCAGTACATTCTAGAATCGTCGAGATGTTAGTGCCTGGTTTGCATCTTGACGCTTTATCAAGGCAGTGGAAACATTCCCGCGTCCAGACTGAAAATACAGAAAATAATCAAGTTTAGATCACCCTCTACTAACGAGGAGGCCGATCACAAAGGTACACTAAAAATCGAATTGACTTTTTCTACGAAAATTTACATCAAAATAGCGGGTTCAATTCTGGAATTCTCTGATCTGGTCTCAGAGTTTTGACCATTTTTGTTTAATAAAGAAAAGTGTTTCCTCGCAAGGGTTTTCTTACAAACAGAAAAAACTCCTAATCTTCATGATTGTTTTTTTCGGCAATTCAAAGCTAGCTTCTTTAATATCCTAGATATATCTCCTTGCGATATGTGGACACCCAATTGTGTTGGAAGATTGGCGCATCATATTTGGGTGTTTTCTGCCTTACAAATAACTACCGATTACTATCTATTTATTACTCAGCTAGGTGGGGCCGAAAGTAAGCTACGATTGTAAAATTATCGCTTTTAATATGAGTTAGGTAATAAATATAGATATTTAATAAATAACAAGCGAGATAAGTACACATAGTACTTTTCGTGCACACTGATTGGCGGGTTCGGAAGTAATTAATAATTCACTACTGTGGGTGAAAGTGGTTGATATATCCTTGACCGCTTTGCAGCTCTGTAAGCATCCACCACCATTCACCTCTAGTTAGCTCACGTTTAGCCGTACCCTTCCCCCAGAGGAGTAACGGAAGAAGGGAGGGGGGTAAGGCTACAGTACGCTAACCTGCAGGTCGGTCATTCTGAAATACCTTTTGCCTCTTTTTCAAAACGAGGCCTGGTGCTCAACCAGTCGTATGAGACTGAGTTTTATTTGCATGTGAATGAAAACCTATTATCATATGAAAGGATGAGCACCAGGACTCGCTTTGAAAATGAGGTAATTCAGAAATGGCCTATTGTTAAACATTATTTGTAATTGTAATTATATAGACGCAAATATAAACATTTAAAAAGAAATAAGATCATATTTATAAAGACACTAAAAGCAGCTGAATAATTTTGTAACACAAATGGAGAAATGCCAGATATTTTCTAAGAAAATTAAGTCAGAAGGCAAAGTACTCAAAAGGAAATAGAAGGATGTTTTCTTTCTACAACGTGACTAAAATGACAGCATCATACAAATTTAACGTTAGAGGAGTCGCGAGTCAGAAAGGAAGACAGAAAATATTGAAATTATTTACTTTCAAGTCAAGACTCTGAGGAGCAAGAAAAAAAAATCTATGCGGATTTAACAAACTAACATTCTTGACTGAGCTACCTTACATCTGCTCTTCCTTAGGTGTTTAATGATTTTTTAAATAGAACTTTATATGATTTTCATGACATTTAATTGGTAGAAATCAACCAACGATTGGTAACGTATTAGTTTTCTGTTAGCTGTCAAATGTAATCATCTTTATTTTGGTGTCGTGAACTGATGCAAATTTCAAAGAAGTATTTAAAAAAGAAAGCAAAAAAAAAGATGGTAAATGTTGTTTAATTATCGCGTGACAAGAAAACACCATGATAACAATTCAACAACCAGTACCGCTGAGACATTTTCAACATTTTTTAAAGTGATTAATTTATAATTATGGTCAAAAGCTTTCCTTAAAGAATATTTATATAGTCGTATGTAAAACTGTTTCATAACATGTTCATATTTTGAACTTTGCCAAGGCATGTGGTCTACTGGCTCTTCTCTCATCCTACGATGCATTTGGAACAAATTGCGTGACGCACGAGAACATGCAAATTTTAGTCTAACAATGATATCGAAGATCGTCTTTGGAGTGCTTTATTTTTCAAATGGAACTTAAGCTATGCCCTCAAGCCTTGTTCATTTGGCAATTTTAAATAGTGCGGTTTCTGTTCGACCACATCACGAAATAAACTTGTCTTTGAGGGAAATATTATCTCGTTAAAACATACATTCGCGATATGAAATTTTTATAGGGAGCGCTATTTAGGTTGAAACTGAACGATGTACACGCAAGTAAATGTATACAATTTGAGACAGATCAAAACACTACAAAAATGCTTTGTTTAGCGTAATATTGTCCATGCGGAATGGACAGTCGATGAGAAAAATGTTTTGATGATTCGACGTAAAAGCGACACTTTTGTAGTGGCGGTAGCCCGTTATTGCAAATAAATAGTTCTGCATTAAAATATTTAGCCATGTTATTCAGTGTTTCTAAGGTTGGTTATGCAGATGAATTCTGTGATTGTATTCTACTGAATAATAAACAGCTACGCATTTTAAAATGTTTCAGTGATACCGGTGAAATGTGCCATTCAGCGTTTTCACTGTTCCACGAACTTGACCAATCTGAATGACCGAATTCTCAACTTCTATAGTCGATCGCTTCACGTTTCCAAATTTCAGACAGGTTCTCTACGAGCACAACTATAACTAAAACCTGGACGACAAAAGTAATTTACGCACTCCAATCCATATCTCTCAAGAGGCGCTAAGAATATTATTTCCTGAGTCAATCTACAAACTATCGGCATCAGACAGACTCTAACAGAAGAACTCGCCTTTACAAGCGTACCTACCAGAAATCGGTATCGTTACGAAACAACACAGCACCACAAAGCGAACCATCATTTCTGATATTGCCGCTTAGCCACCAGGTTTGTTACCGCTGTGGTCGAGCGGCGACGGCGTAAAATTTGCATGCTCGCGCTCTTGCCTCACAGGCAGCCCAAGCTTACGATGGGCGGATGTTTACGTTTTTTCACGTTATGAGCAAAACGTGACAAACGAAAGGCAACGGATGAAACGTGAAACAAGAGCTGTCGAAGTTCTTGATTCCTGGCTCGTTGTATATTTAGAAGACGTGTAGATGATTTTTATGGGGAAAACAGATTTGGAAGTTGATACCTTGAACAATTAATGGCTTTGATTAAACCTTTGTTGTTTTGACGACTTGCTGTCTCACTCCTCAGGCCAAACCGAAGCTATTCAAGCGAGTGATGGATTTTTAAATCTGTGAATGTCCCGGGCATGCATGAGAATTAAATAAAAACAGAAAACATTAAAGGAAGTTTATTTCCTTTAAGAAATCAAAATATCTCCCCGATCGAGATCCGGTTTTCTCTTAGGACCGCAGGCTTCCGTAATGACGTTTTGGATTTTTTTAAACCGGTCGTTACGTAACTTGAGTAAACAGGGGTCTCAAAAAACAATAACATGAGGCTGGGTATCCTGTGTGACGTAATTTGTCACGAGCATTAACATTAAAAAGTTTGTGAATTGCATTATCTAAAAAGGTTATCATTTTTGTCGGAAGCCGTTTTATCCCTGCATAGGGTAATAAAGACTTTGACACTAAACCGCCACGTAGCGTGAAATACATCAGCGGCAGTCACGGTATTAAAAG